AATTGAGGTATTCTCATTTGAATGGAGGTAGGGATCAGTTGGGTCAAGGTCACAGTGTTAAAAATAGATTTTTACACTTTTGCTCATACAGCCTTTATTTATTGACAGATTTGTATTATAATTGGTAGGAAGATAACTTATATGGTATTCTTCCTTTGGATGGAGTAAGGGGTCAGTTGGGTCAAGGTCAACAGTGCTAAAAATAGATTTTTACACTTTTGCCCATTACAGCCTTTATATATTGACAGATTTATTTCATATTTGGTAGGAAAATAAGTTGCATGATATTCTTCCTTTGGATGGAGTTAGGGGTCAGTTGGGTCAAGGGCAAGGGTGCCAATTACAGATTTCTACACATGATTGGTTTTCTTCCATACAAATTAGCTACTTCACTCTCTAAAGTTAAATTAGTGACAACAGTGAGCGCGGGGGCATTTGTGTTTATCAAACATAGATTCTTGTTTTTTACTGTACCTTCTTTATTATTTAGGGAATCAACTTCATACTTCAAATATATGTTCCTTATCATTAACCACATCATATGTCACAGACAAGGTTCATAACTCTTTTACCAATGTTTCAAGAATTATCTCCCCATTAACTTAGATTTTTTTACTTGAAAAATGTTATTTTTACTATAACTTCGTTAGTTTTAAAGGTATCAGTACCTCAAACTTCAACAAAATATTCCTTATCATCAACCACATCTTATAAGACAAGGTTTATAACTCTCGAAGCAATATTTTCTGATTTATCTCCCTTTGAACTTAGAAATTTCTTAAAGAAATATAACTTCTTTACTTTTTAAGGTATCTAACTTAAAACTAAAAGATATATTTCTTATCATTCCACACATGTTGTGTGACAAGGTCGGTAACTCTAGTGTGACTATTTCCAGAATTTTTCCCCTTTGAACTTGGACTTTATGTTAACAACAAGAACTTCTTGTCATCAGAAGAAATATAAAATTATTTATATCATAATTGATTTTTCTTTGATTGTTTTGTATTCCTAATACTGCGTCCAGTATTTAATTAGTCGAGCTTTGCTGTCTCCTGTGACAGCTCTTGTTAATTCTGTCTTCATGGTATTTCATTACTCTTTTCTGTAAATCTTTCCTTCCAATTCTGATTAGTAGATTCTCTAAAAATTATGTACATGTTCTTGAAATCAGTTCCCTATTGTCAAGAAATGCCATGATGTCAGCGCCATGTTTTAGCTGACAAACTTGCCATCTTTAGTGGGGCGGGAAATTGGGAAAATAGTGCAAATTGTGATACAAGCTTGAAACTTTCAGGAAATCATCTTTAGACCATGTAGATTTCAAAAGTGAAGTGGGCCCAAAAATATCTCTGCTCATTCAAGATGGCCGCCATTTTCAAAATGGCCGCCATATAAATTTGAGTACATTCTAGCTCATTCATTCCAATTTTTTGTACAGACCTTTAACTCACACCAAAAGCATGCATATAATTTCTCCTTCTCAAAAATTTAAATCTCACAAAATTTCTCTTTCATACTTCTTCCAAATCCAAGATGGCGTCCAATATGGCCGTCGATTTTGTGCAAAACTGTTATATCATTTTTCTAGTATAATTTGTTGCACAAATTATGTTTATTATGATAAAAAAAGTGTTTAAACATATCAGAGGTAATCAAATTATATGTAAATCTCAATAAAAGTAAACATTTAAAAAGTTTTTGTCTAAAAATATCTTTAAAAAAGATCAAGAAAAAATTCCATTTTTTTCATATTTTTCAAATTTGATTTTCTAAAGTAATGTACAAAGTTAAAACAGTTACTTTATATCTTAAATTGTATTTGACATTTCATTAATATCATGTGTTTATTGTAAAGAATGTAAGAAAAGCATTAAATCTGTAGGTTTTATATTTTGTGAAAGTGGGTGGGGTAATTTTATATGATAATTGTGAAAGAAAAAACAACAGAAAATCTACATAGCTAAGTTCATTCTATTTCTTTGCCTTTTTACTTTTCTATGAATTCTTATGCAAATGTTCCAACTTATAAAGTACTTTTTATTGGATGAAAGTATTTTTGTCTTCCTTCGGGCCATTTGGTGGGTGAGCATTTGGTGGGTGTATACATTCAGTTATTAAATTTGGTTGCATGATAATTCTTGTTTCAATATATATATCATATATTAATTGTTAATCGTAAAAGACATATAAGAAGACAATAAATCAACTAAACGTGCTTAAAAAAGCAAACATGTACTTGAATGCAAGGTATAAAGGTAGTCTATAAACGCATATTTTTGACTCCTCCACAATTTTATATTTATAATATAAACATGGCTTAAAAGCCAACAAAATGTATGTGATGTAAAACATATATATCAATGATATGGCCTGGCCTGCATGCAACTTTTTGAAAAGTTAAGATACAAACTAAGTGTACTAGTATTTCCTAAAGTAGTCATATCTTATTTTTTTCTTTCAATAAGAGGGTAATGATGACCCTGGATCACTCACCTAAGATCATTGTTGGAAAAAAGGTAACAAGATCATTTTGGGAGTGTCAATTATGTTATTCATAACTGAATCCGGTTGCTTTTAAAGAAACATGCTCAATATCTGCTTTCAATTTTTTATTTCACACGAGAGAACTTTAATAACAATATCTATATACGAGTCCATATAAATTAGTGACCTTTTGTGTTTGGTAAATTTGGACCATGTTGTCCATGATATATCATTATTATAACATACTTAATCATGATGATTTAATGTATATGCGTCGGATAGTGTAGGTTAAGAGAAAACAGATTTATTACAGTAGTCTTTGTAAATTAAGTGATACCATTGCAAAACCATTTTAGACTGCAGTAGCATCATACAAATTTATGCATGTTATATCAGTCTACATACCAAATATCTTATTTCAAGTCAATGAAGTTTAACAATAGATGTTCTTAATGTGTTTTCCTATACAAGTCTGTGAACCCAGGTGGCTCTATGAGCATGATTCATTAAATGTGTTAATAAAGACCCAAGGTGGTGTTACATGCCAGCTTAGTACCAGTGCTCTATGCATTTTGATTTTTGAGAAGATTTTTTTATTGCATGTACACTTTATGATACAAAAGTGTTTTATGTAACTTTTAAAGAGGTCTTCTTTACTTGGCAAGGTTATATTTTGACTATCTAAGCTCTAGGCATTACAGTTTGTTTGTTTGTTGATTTTTTTTAATAACATCAACAACAAAACAACTTCAATGCGATTCCCTACACAAGTCTTTAAAAACTGTGTTCCTCGTGAGGTCCTTTAAATCATGTTCCTGCAGTCCAAAATGGCTTTCCCTGTCACTTAGTTTACATTGACTTGTAGATTTGTATATTAAAATTCTTCTCCGAAACTATGTGCACAGAGAAGAGAAAATATTGTATATCATAACATTGTGATGCTATATAAAGATTATAAACTATTGGCATAGGGTCAAAATCACTTAGTTTACATGGACTCTTATTGGAATATAGTTATATGAGTCTTCTTGTAGTTCTGAGAGCCTAGTTATTTGCCATGATTCTTTAAATCATGACTGGTGAAAAAAAGATACTCCTTATATGATTTTAGCATTCTTCAATTTAAAAAGAATTATAGACCTTTTCCAGCAGTGAGTCTTAGGCGCGTGATCTAGGGTCAACAATTGCTCTCTTGTTTTATGGGAAAAATAAAGTAGGAATACATTTAGTTTATATTTCAAAGTATAAGCTATGTTTGTTATGTGGGTCAAGCGGTTTTATTGATACCTATTTTAGCACACCTAGTCATTAGATAATATGATGTATCAGTCGCCTAAATTTTTGTTTCTTTTGAAAATATCATGTCTACATAAGTTATTAGAAATGGACGGTACTTATTCAATCATACTTGGTTACAATGATGTGCAAGTAAATATAACTTTGAATCATTCTGTTACAAGCTCAAAATTTAGCAAGACTAAATTGTGCAGGAACTAATTGTATTCATAAATAGACAACATTTCACTAAGGTCCAGGCATGATTTAATCTAACATATGGTTCGTTGATGAATAATTATTCAATCTTCTTTCTGTACAATTATCAAGTTATATTATGACTATTGAAACAACTTATATCATGCAAACACATTTAATAACTGAATGTATACATATGATTATATCTGCATTTATTGATATTTTAGTACACCCTCTAGACCTGAAGGAAAACAAAAATACCTTAATACAATAAAATACTTTTACAGTGAATATTTGCATAAGAATTCTTAAAAAACGTTATTTTGTACTACAATTGTCTGATAAATTTACCCCACCCACTTTTAATAAGTATAAAACCTTCACATTTTTTGTTTTTGTTACAATTATACAATAAAACATAGTGTTGATTGAATATCAAATACACTTTAAGAAACTATGTAACTTTTGGAATTTTGTACATAGACCTAGAAAACCATGTTAGAGAAAAATGAAAAAAATGGCACTTTTTCTTTGATTTTTTTAAAGATTTTTTTTGTACAAAAAACTAAAAACATGACTTACAATATGGTTAACCTAAAATTTGATTTTTTTTCTAATATATTTCACAATTTTATATGGAAATACGCATACCGTGTGCAAAAAATTATACTACAAAAGAGAATTATCAGTTTTCATTAAAATTGGCAGCCATATTGGACGCCATCTTGGATTCTGAAGAAATATGCAAGAGAAATTGCTTAAAGATTTAAATTTTTGAAAAGGGGAAACTATATGCATGCTTTGGTGCAAGTTTCAGGTCTGTACAAAAAATTGGAATGAATGGTCTATTATGTACATCAAATTTATATGGCGGCCATATTGAAAATGGCGGCCATCTTGAATGAGCAGAGATATTTTTGGGCCCACTTCACTTTTGAAATCTACATGGTCTAAAGATAATTTCCTGAAAGTTTCATACTTGTATCACAATTTGCACTATTTTGACAGCAGAGACCTTATTTCCCGCCCCACTACTTGGTCATCATCACTAAATTACAGATCATTGTGAAACTATGCACCTGGGACTTTGCATGTGGATTTTTTTTCAGTTTTGTAAGAGTTATTGCCCTTGACTTACAGTAGTATAAATTTGCAATTTTCAACTTGTTGATGCATAGCACAAAAAGTATTTTGTCCGTCCGTCGGTTTTTCATTGTCCGCCCAATAACTTGAGTTTCCTTTGGCCCACAGTCTTCATATTTTGGCGTGGAGGTTAGTTATGATTAGTAGATGACCCCTATTGATTTTGAGGTCACTGGTCTTAGGGGCTTTGACTAAAAAAACTTGATTTTAAAATTTTCACATTTGAAGCATGGAGAATACATTTCTTAGCAATGCACTCAGGCTTAGTAACCTCAGATTTGCCAGGGTGGTTGTCCTGGAGTCCTAAATGGCCACTGTTGATTCTGACAGAGTGGTATGCAGGGGTATTCACACCATGACAGCGGCAGTTCTAGTTTCATTTTATTTCTGTGTACAATGTATATTTCAGAAACAATATAATTTGTTTGTATATCTATTTGTTTTAAGAGCCCCAGCTGATGACCTCAGTGGAGTTCCTTTAATGATATCTATTATATTATCAAATTATGAGTATTGAACAGATGATGTACGGCATACTAGAAGAATGATACAATTTGTATCAAGTTTTGGTTTCCCCTTATTAACAACTCAAGAAATGAGGTAAAAACCAACACAAATATACTTTATCTTGTGAATGTCAACAAGAGTGCAGTTGAGCTCTGGGTATGAGTTTGTTTGTTTGTCATTGTCTTCTCTTTTTTTCTAAAAAAACCATAACATAAAAGTGAGGAACATGCGAAGTCGTCGAAATATTGCTACACAAAGATATTAATAAATCTAATTACATATACATGCTGCAACATGCATCTGCAAAATTAATCTAATACTTCTTTCGTTTCCCTGATATGATATTATGGATTTTTGCACATAGTTGTGCCACCGTTCTTCCTTCAAGTTTGTGAGATAAACTCTCGAGAGTTTCCCCTGTCGGCATTGTTTTCTGGCAGATATTATCACTAAGGACAGAATAAAAAATTTAGTTCTCTGCTTCTGTCCATCGTGTACGCTTCACGCTCTTTCTTCTACTTCTTCTACTCCACTATTTCCTAACCCACATGTCTGAGATTTCAAATTTTTAAACCAATAGCTGGAAAGGTCCATCATAATGTGAAACAGGGATAATCCAAAACATCAAAGCACCCATTATTTTATTTATATATTTTTTGAAGGTATAAATATATCAAATGATAATTAAATGAATGAAGAATTTGAAAATCATAATATGTCTTTGAATGATAATCACAGTTGTAATGGCTTCTAGACTGCTTGTTTTGAAATGTATAATACTCAGAATTTCTCCCTAAATAATCACATGAAACAGTCAATCCCAGAATGCCCCATGAGAAAATTAGTCATGCATAGATAAATAAAAGCCCAGGTGGTGCCATTAGTTTTATCTGATCTCTGTGTTATAGTCACAGAGATCTGCTTGTGAAATCTTTGTGGATGCAGTATTTATTCATCCTAATTACCCTACTGGTTAATATAATTTACACATTAATTTTACATATATGAAAGGGCACATGTATGTGTTTATTGTACACATAAACTTGGCAATTCTAAATTGTAGTGATATGTAATTGTACCATTATGTTATTAAATAAACATAATATACATGTTACTTCAGTATTTTTAGTAATGTATATGCCACTTACAAGTACTTGCAGTTTAAGTTATGTTAATTATAGAAAATTAATAAAATTTAACATTGAATTGAAAGCTCTTTTACAAATCTGTTTTAATAACAGATTGGAATAATACTTTGATAATTGCACTCATAATTAATCAAGAATTTTGGCAATTTTATGTGACATAAACACTGTTTTTTTGTATAATAGTTTTTGGTTTTGCTCTCTTATCTATGCTTAACAATGGAAAAGATATCTTATAACAATGATTATAAATAATTTGAATTCTTTGTGTGATTACGATTAATTATGATACCTATATAGCCATTAATATATGTATTTTATGGCAACAAGGATTTTTTAAAAACTTTTTCCATGTTCTTCATGGACCAACCATGGACAATTGTCCAGGGTTTGAACTTATCCATGGATTTCCATGCTAAGGCCATGCATATCCATGCTCCGACCATGGATTAAAACATGGACAATCTACAGCCGGGACCAGTTACATAAGTGCAATGGTCTCAATAGAATAGTAAGTTGGTTTTTCTATATATATTTTTTTCGAATTTCTTCAAATGTATAAACCCCACATGTAAATATCTCTTGTCGATCGACAAAAAGAAAAGAAAATAAATGCAGTGATTTAAGGACGAATAATGCTAAAAGCGAAGTAGCAACAACTTGCTGACTTGTTTGGATGGGGAAATTTGCATTGAAAAAGCCATACTATTCATTGGTTACCGGTGTAACCGGTCTTTTACTACAGCGGTTATTTAATGCGGGACATTTTATTGAGCAATATATTATGTACATGGTACATAAATTTATTCATGTATTGTCTAATATGTTTTCTTTTGCTATTTGTTTATTATCGTTTGGTTAATATTGCTAACACAAAAAATCAATTACTTGGCAATTATTGGGTAATTTACAACAATCAACTGAGGGTGTGAATTACAAATTTTCCGTAACAAGTAGGAAATTATGTTGTGAGAACATTTTTCAAAATCTTAATTCCCTGAAGCCATAACAAACCTGTGCAATCATTTGATTGTTTAATTATCGGATAGTGTTATTCGTGTACTGATCCCAATCGAGCGTATCCCGATATTTCAATTATAACAGTTTGTTATAACCGAGGAAATTTAAATGTTTTCCGTCATTTGGGGCCTTTAAAAACGGTTCGTCGTTGAAAATTGGCTATAAGCGAGTACGTATTAAGTGATGTTTTGTAATATAAAATAAAGAAGGAATCGGCCGGGGATGTCAGATTTAGTTCGCTATTAACGATAATTCGCTATAAGCGAGTTCGTTATAAGTGGAGTCGACTGTATACAAAAAACAGGTTATTTAAATGGTGTACCTTGTTCAAACGAAAATAATGTACATATCTATATTGCATTTTGATGAGTGATATGAACTAAACGTACTAGAAAGTTTTAAATTTCGCAATTAAAGCAATATTTTTCACAGTATGCCCCAACTGACTTAGATAGTGAAGCATTTAGCATGTAGTAAAGAGTAATAAGCTTTAAATTAAATGACACATTGGACGGAATGAAAAATTCGATGATTTTACAATGTTTTGGGCAAATTATCATCTGTTTTCTTGTCGTATGCAGTATTGACATCAATTTTGTATGACAAAAAGTTACGGTGTCTCGGTCAGAAGTATGGTATTTCGACGTTGCGCGGAAAAGTTTTGGTAAACGCCTTATCACCGTGCTTTTGTGTTGTTTTTTTTTTTCATAAATATTTTTTTCTTCCAAGCTTTTTATATTAGAATCACATTATTGGTGTTAAAACAGCTAGCCATTGAAATAAATCTTTTAAATACTCTAAAAGTCAAAACCTACTTACTTACAACTATATATCCTGGAACTTTTATGTTAACTTTTTCATTGTTGTTTACTAATCAGCTGTTTACTAAACCATTTTAGCTGTTGGATTAAACAAAATCTTTCAATTAAATTTTCACATTTTCATACAGAAAAATGATTAAGTACTTAGTTTCCTTGTGTAGGTTCTCTTTTACAATGAAATCTGTCATGGCTAATATAAAGCGTCTCAGGAACCAGTTCAATAAACTTACTTAATTCTAGATGTGTGACTTTTTTCATTTATTATAAAAAAATATTGTTTAAAAAAAAAAAATAGTAATGTTATTTTCATATCTATGTACTGTACATGTAAATATATTTGCTATTTCAATTTTATATGCCCGAAAGAATTTCGGGCATTTTATGTGATACCCCCTGGCATCCATCCGTCTGTCTGTCCATCTGTTAGCAATTTGGTTTCCGGAGCATAACTTAAGTTTCATTTGGCCCACAATATAAAAATTTATAGGATGATTGTCCATATTGGGCAAAATACCCCTATTGATTTTGGGGTCACAAGGTCAAGGTCACTATTACCTTAAAACTGAAAACAGTTTCCGGAGAAAAACTTAAGTTCCATTTGGCTAACAATTTTCAAACTTCATAAGATGATTGTCCATATTAGGTAGAAGACCCCTATTGATTTGGGGTCACAAGTCACTATTACCTTTAAACTGAAAACAGTTTCCTCTCAATAACTTAAGTATTGTCAGATTGAGAAAGTAAAATCTGCTTTGCATAATATGGGTTGTTTTGATTTTTTTATTACAAGTTTTAATAACTTTAAATATATAAATCATTAAAATCACGTTTTTGTGATAAGTTTTTACAAGTATGGAATAGTGGTGTTTTCAGTTATGCTAAGTGTTTAAATTATAGAATATATAAAACTCAATTTAAATTGGAACATTATTTACTAAATTTACCAAATAATAAAGCAATTACTCTTTGTTAATTTAGATCTTCCTATAAAGAAAATTCGCTTTTTATATGCCCGAAAGAATTTCGGGCATGTTATGTTATACCCCCTGGCGTCCTTCTGTCCGTCCGTTAGCTATTGGTTTCTTGAGCATAACTTAAGTTCCGATTGGCCCACAATATTCAAACTTCATAGGATGATTGTCCATATTGGGTAGAAGACCCCTATAGATTTTGGGGTCACAATGTCAAAGTTCAAGGTTGCTATTACTTTAAAACTGAAAACTGTTTCCAGAGCATAACTGGCCCAAAATACTCAAACTTCATAGGATGATTGTCCTTATTGGGTAGATTTGACCCCTATTGATTTTGGCGTCACAAGGTCAAGGTCACTATTACTTGAAAACTGAAAACAGTTTCCGGAGCATAACATAAGGTCTATTTGGCCCACAATATTCAAACTTCATACTAGGATGATTGTCCATATTGGGTAGAAGACCCCTATTGATTTTCGGGTCACAAGGTTAAAGGTCAAGGTCACTATTATTTTAGAACTGAAAACAGTTTCCAGAATATAACTTAATTTCTATATTGCCCATAGTGTTCAAACTTCATAGGATGATTGTCCATATTGGGTAGAAGACCCCTTTTGATTTTGGGGTCACAAGGTCAAAGTTCAAGGTCACTATTACTTTAAAACTGAAAACAGTTTCCAGAATAAAACTAAATTTCTATTTGGCCCCTAGTGTTCAAATTCATAGGATGATTGTCTATATTGATTTTGGGGTCACAAGGTCAAAGTTCAAGGTCGCTATAACCTCAAAACTGAAAACAGTTTCCAGAGCATAACTTAAGTTCCATTTGGCCCACAAGATTTAAACTTTATAGATGGATTGCTATTTGAAGGAGGTAATACTTTATTTAATTTATGTAATGTCTTACAAATGCTTCATCCTTACTAAAAAACATACATAAAGGGCATATAATGATCCGCCTAGTGGTTTCCTTGTTTGGTATTGAAAGAGAAAATAGAATGTGCTCACTTTGTAGCCAGCAAGAGATAGAGATGAATTTCACTATATTTTTAAATGTAGTTATTTTACTCATGAATAACACAAATATATCAGTAATTTCTATTCAAGGTTTCCTAGTATTTCAAATGTTCAGGCTCTAATGTGTAGTGATATTAGAAATACTTTATTTAATCTAGCCATTTTTATATGCCCGAAAGAATTTCGGGCATATTTTGTTATACCCCCGGGCGTCCGTCCGTCCGTCTGTCAATCCGTCCGTCCGTCTGTCCGTCCGTTAGCAATTTGGTTTCCGGAGCATAACTTAAGTTCCATTTGGCCCACAACATTCAAACTTCATAGGATGATTGTCCATATTGAGTAGAAGACCCCTATTGATTTTGGGGTCACAAGGTCAAAGGTCAAGGTCACTATGACCCTAAAACTGAAAACAGTTTCCGGAGCATAACTTAAGTTCCATTTTTCCCACAGTGTTCAAACTTCATAGGATGATTGTCCATATTGGGTAGAAGACCCCTATTGATTTTGGGGTCACAAGGTCAAAGGTCAAGGTCACTATGACCTTAAAACTGAAAACAGTTTCCGGAGCATAACATAAGTTCCATTTGGCCGACAGTGTTCAAACTTCATAGGATGATTGTCCATATTGGGTAGAAGACCCCTATTGATTTTGGGGTCACAAGGTCAAAGGTCAAGGTCACTATGACCTTAAAACTGAAAACAGTTTCCGGAACATAACTTAAGTTCCATTTGGCTGACAGTGTTCAAACTTCATAGGATGATTGTCCATATTGGGTAGGAGACCCCTATTGATTTTGGGGTCACAAGGTCAAAGGTCAAGGTCACTTTTACTTTTAAACTGAAAACAGGTTCTAGAGCATAACTTAAGGTCTATTTGTCCCACAATATTCAAACTTCAGAGGATGATTGTCCATATTGGGTAAAGACCCCTATTGATTTTGGGGTCACAATGTCAAAGGTCAAGGTCACTATTACTTCAAAACTGAAAACAGTTTCCAGAGCATAACTTAAGGTCTATTTGTCCCACATTATTCAAACTTCAGAGGATGATTGTCCATATTGGGTAAAGACCCCTATTGATTTTGGGGTCACAATGTCAAAGGCCAAGGTCACTATTACTTTAAAACTGAAAAAAGTTTCCAGAACATAACTTACTTTCTTTTTGGCCCATAGTGTTGAAACTTCATAGGATGATTGTCCATATTGGGTAGAAGACCCCTATTGATTTTGGGGTCACACGGACAAAGTTCAAGGTAGCTATTACCTCAAAACTAAAAACAGTTTCCAGAGCATAACTGAAGTTCCATTTGGCCCACAATATTCAAACTTTATAGGATTGCTATTTGAAGGAGGTAATACTTTATTTAATTTATGTAATGTCTTACAAATGCTTCATCCTTAGAAAAGAAAAAAAAAACACTTTCGGGCATATAATGCTCCGCCTAGCGGTGCTCTTGTTGTTAAATTGTTAAAGCAATTATGCTGAAATTTCACTAAGTCATCCTTATTAACTTTTATGCCATGTTTTTATTATTATTTGTTGTACTTTTTGTTTGTTCACTCTTATGGGGAGTTTCTGTATATAAATAAAATAAAAACAATTGAAACGATGTCTGCTGTTTGAAATAACTTCATTTATATAAAATATGTAGAGAAACATCATTTAGATCTGGAGAATCTTA